TTTTTTACATTGATAAAAAAAAAAAAAAAAAAAGTCATGAGTATGTACCAAGTAGTGACAGGAATATATTGCTGCAGTGCCAGTGAAAGTCAGCTTTTATGTAAGATGAACACTGAACAGTTTGAACACAGATGACATAACAATTTCCTGACAGGAACATTTGTTTCATAAACAAGACACTTGTGATTTGAGATCCACAGATCAGATGGGAGAATGACTGTCTAGCAGACCTGTGATTTTAGCTTTGAAAGGGCTGCCCACTATGTGCTGTGGCCCGCCGTATTTGATGGTGATGAGATAGTTGCCAGGTGCCATGGGTATGTAGGTGATCTTGTAGCCCTCGGGACACTCGCGACAGTCCATTTTGACCTTAGACGGCCCGTCGATGTTGACAGACAGAGTGCCTGAGCCTGCATTACACGTGTTGACCACAAACTCTGTGACAACACCTGGAAGAAAGAGGACAAATGCAAATAGAGATGAAAAGGCTGTACATTTGTGACATATTTTATTAATAAAAAAATAAATAAATAAAACAGTTATATTATCTGCATATGAAATACACACTTTTAGAGAGGGTGATATTTACCTGTGGTTCCTCCCTGCAGTCCAGGGCCGTGTGCAGTCACCATGCCTGGGTCTCCAATTAGCCCCGGGTCTCCCACACGCACATTAAAAGGGCTCCCAGGAATGTGGCATCCATTGAACTTTACATCTATGGAGTGAACTCCGTTTTCACGTGGAATAAAGTGGATTGCAGTCTTGTCTGAAAACACGAAAGAAGAGGTGAAGATGTTACTAGTCCATATTCTTAAATGATTCTTATAGATGAAAAGGTAAAATTCCCTGACTCATACAAAGTGAGATTGGTGCATACCGCTGTCAAGCTCAGTGATGTAGCATGCTTCAGAAAAGCCGGAGGGGGTGTGGACTTTGGCATCCACCACCCCTCGAGCCCCATTTCGCTGCACCATGAAGGATGCTTCTTGGTTTACCTTCAAATCCTTCTCCTACATGAGACAGTGAAAAATAAAATCAGAACATCTGTGTGCACCTGTAACTGCAGGGATACAAAGCATGTGACTCAGCATGCATGAGCAAGAATAGATCGAGGGGTTGGGTGTGAGAGGTAGAAAAGGTCAGAGTTTACAGCGAGGCGTTTAGTGTTTTTGCCCTACAGGCGAATGAGTGGTCCTATCAGACATAAGAGCTAGTGTAACATTTTAAATGCTGGTCTGATATTGCACTTCACCTGGCTTCTAGTGGTAGAAAAAACACTGAAGTGCTCTTTCACTTAACAAAAAAATATATTTTTTTTAGCTTTGTTAGCAGCTGTAATGGAAACTGTGAAAGGAAATAAAACAAGCACCAAGGACACCAAAACTGCCACAGGTTTCTTTATCTTCAGCTCACTAGTTTTTTTCTTCCTTCCTCTCAACTGAAACACAATCACATAGACTAGCTGACTGCCCACAGATAGCACAGCTTGTGCTGCCCCACATTTGCAAGGGACAGTTAATCCAACCCCTCATCACTGGCCAGCATCACTGTATTACAGTCATGAATACTGCTCCAACACTAGCATTCAATTACACTTCAAGGGCAAAGTTCTATTGGACAGAAATAGACAACCACTCCAACCTTATGCAAAATTGAAATCTGTTCTTCAGCCTTCCTACTTTGTGACTATTTATGTGTAGTTTGTCTTATTGTTTTGTGGAACAAACGAATGTGGGTTTTTGTAAACTCTGCGTGTATCTATGTGTGATATTACCTGAAGGATTGTGACAGTGAGCCTGCGGGCCTCGTCTGACAGCGTTGCAATCGGAACAATGAATGGGCTGTCAGGGATGTGCTCGTTGTTGAACTTGATTGACACTTCATAGTCACCTGGGGAAACAGACAGGTTATTTACTTTCACCATCACATAAATTGGAGGATGTTTGGAAGAACTAGATGGCACTCGGAGAGCTCAAACCTCTGCCAAGGCAGCTCACTGTCTGCTTAGTGCCAATACACCTAAAAGCAATGTTCCCCTCACAGTGTGACCTTTAGAATACGACTCCCTGACCATGAAAACCTTCCCCTAGTATTGGAATCACATTGATATCATTATTAGCATGAATGTTATTCCAGAAAAATGATATTTGAGTTTTCCTCACGCTCTAGCTCCGAACTCTTTGACTCTCTACTGAATCAGCACGTGTTCAGCTATGATTTCTTAGTTGAAAGCATTATTTGTTGTTTTCAGTAGCTGGTTTTCTGTGAGCTGTGATTCTGGATCAGCAGATTCTGAATATTTCTTGAATCCAGGACATACTCTGGTGTGTGGTAGGCATTAGGTATGAAGTTAAATGAAGCAAAAATATTCAAATCAGCCCTATCTCACAATGGTGAAGAATCATTTAGAAAACTCCTGGAACTGGATAATGATCTGGATCACCACCAGAGGCTAACAGATTGTTCCTTGGGCCATAACCTACCTCTCCAAAAGACAAACAAACGAAAAAACAAAATCCATTCTTTACTTTGAGTTATGCGGTGAGCAACGCAACAAAAACACATGCTAGTAAAGACACAGTCTCCCTCATGGAGGTAATTAACTGAAAGATTTAGCTGTTTAAAGATAAAATATACTCAAAACGTGAAGAAAATTCAACATGTTGAGTCGTACCTGGTTCTTTCACTATGTAGGAGACACCGCAAGAACCATCCTTCCTGTCCTCGAAGGAAATTTCAGCCTTGCTTGGCCCCTCTACAGCAATGGACAGACCGCCTGCACCTGCCTCTCTTGTCCAGATACTAAATTCAGCTAGAGGGGTTAAAACAAAGCTAAATTAGATGAAGTTTCACCTTAAATATCAACATTTCATTAAACACTTTAAAATATTTCTTGAGGAGTATTGGTAGGAAACAGTTTTTCCTAGAGATGGCATGTCCATGTCGACACAGTGAACCTACATGGTGCTCCAGCTACGCCTCGCTGCAGGCCAGGTCCTCCTGCACGGACCTTGTGAGGCCCTCCCTCCCCCATGGGTCCCACAGTAAACTGGAAAGGGCTTCCAGGAACGTGTTGGCCTCTGTATTTGACATTGACTGTGTGGGGTCCAATTTCCTGTGGGATGAAGCGCACACTGTATGTGCTGCTCCCTCCATCCACAAGGTCAGCATCCACCGTTTTCCCACTGGGGCTGGTCACCTGAGCTGTCATGGCCTGGGAGCCACTCTCAACTGGTGAGGCAGAGCAGCACAGCAGGTCAGATACAGTCAAAACGTCTTTTGTACAATATGTAACAAACTGTAGGTTAAAACTAAGAACTAATGCAAAACTTTGTATATGCTTTGGTGAACACTTAAAGCCAACATGTACAAATCATAAGTTTGGTCCCTCACCCTCAGGTCTAGCAGTGATGCCAGCGAAGCTGCTTAGGCTCTCTCTGCCCAGAAAGTCTCCAAAAACATCTCGGAATGGGCTTCCTCCTCCTCCTACCTGGGTGCTCGCCTCCACTCGCACCTCCCTCTTTGTCTCTCCACCTCGGGTTTTGCTAATCTCTGTGCGCTCAGTGCGGGTGTAGGTGTGGCTGCTGCGGGAGAATGTCCTGGTCAGCCTCTCCTGAGCTGAAACCATCTGGAACCAGTTTCCTATAGTGAAGAGGAAGCAGTGAAAATAGGAATCCATATACAACTGTGGAAGGTTTGCTCATATCAACATGCTTGACCGCTGCACTATGACCAGCTCTGACCGTCTTCTTAACTCACCTGGGATTTTCAGGTTAAGGCCACATGTGCTCCCCACTGAGGCGATAGAAGACGCCTGCCTCTTCCTAGTAATACTTTCTTTCATTCTTCCTTCTCCAGTCACCTTCACTGTGAAAGGACTACCTGCATGGGAAGAATGCATATGCAGTCAATCAAACAAAGTAAGATTTAGTTTTTTAGATGCCAAATATTTTCATATTTGTACATTTTCCAAGGAAAAGATTTTAACCTGGGATGTGCTTTTCAGCAAATTTGATGTTAACAGTGTAACTTCCAGGTTCAGTTGGACAGTAGGTCACTCTGCACGTCCCATCCTCTACATCGTCACAGTTGATATCCACTTTGCTCGGACCCTCAATTGACAATGCTAGACCTCCATAGCCTAAGAGAAGTTGGAAAATCATATACATATACACACACACACACACACACACACACACATATATATATTTTTTGCTTTCTTTTTTAAATCCTGTTGCCACAAAAGTGAAACACAGCTTACCTGCATTCCTTGTATCCACAAAGAACTCGGCCGTTTCAGAAGTGTGTGCCTCCACCAGGCCTTTACCATAAGCCTTGACTCTGCTGGCCTCGCCGATCTCTGACTGGCCAACCATAATCTTAAAAGGGCTGTTGGAAACGTGCATGCCACTTTTCCTTACACTCACTTCATGTTCACCAACTTCCTTAGGGGTGAAAGAAATACCTGAAAAAAGTAAGGAGGGGAAAAAAAAAAAAAAAATCACGATAAAAGATCAGGAAATGACATACAAATGCATTAGATAAATCCACGAGTGTCTTATCTATGTTCCTCTCCTTCTGTTATTTAATGCATGCGGTAAGTGAATATCTCACCGAGGTGTCTGTTGGGCAGCCTCTTGAGCAGGCAGGGCTCCTCCTTGCCTGATGGAGCTCTGATACTGGCAGTCAAAGAACTGAGATCAGTCTCTGTGATCTTCAGGGACACGTCAGTAGCTGTGCCGACATTCAGCTGAGACGTCCTGGTTATGGAGTCATCCCCTTGACATAAAAAAGGTGGTTTAGATGTTTGTCACTTCTTAAAACCTGATTTATAAAGCACACATCCACTCTAAATATAAATCAGCTGTATAAAACAGAAGATAAGGAGCGAAACAATTTATTTTCTCACCAGTGATCTTAGCAGTAAAGGGACTGCCGGGAATGTGCTTGTTATCAAACTTCACAATTATGTTGTAGTCTCCAGGAGCTGTGGGCAGGTAGGAGACAGTGCAAGTACCATCTTTGTTGTCCTTACAGGTGATCTCGGCCTTAGAGGGACCCTCCACTGCCATTGACAGACCACCTGAGTAGAAGAAAAATGCTCAGATTCTTATTCCTCTGCAGTGTGATGCTGCCAACAGTTTGGTAAGGTTCAGTCTTAGCACAGATTTACTGTAGAGTAGCAAATTTTACCTTCTCCTGCATTCTTGGTGACCACAGTAAACGTGGCAGCCTTGTTGACCATGCCATAACTCAGACCTGGACCATAAGCAGTCACCACTCCGCTGTTCACAGCATCCACATAGAACTGCAGAGGGCTTCCTGCAAGCACATAGTAATTAAAGTCAGAACTGTATATACTGTTGGTTCAGTAAGAGACATACATCATGTTTCACTAACAAGAAGAGAATAGCAAAACATCCAAAAGCAAATCATGATTGTTTCTGACCTGGAATGTGGTTGCCTTCATATTTAATGTCCATCTCGTGCAAGCCTCTCTCTGTGGGCTGGTACTTGATTGTGATGGCACCATCCCTGTTGTCAGTGATATGCGGACGGGCCGTCTTGCCTGAAGGCATTCGCACCTCACCTAGAAAGGACAGCAGCATGGTTAAATGTAAGTGACTTGACAAAGTTGTTTTGTGGGTGCAGGGTTTTGTTTCTGTATGACTAGCACTTGCCACACCTGTGATTTCTCCTTGCTGTGGCGTGAAAGGGACGAGAAAGTTAACAGGTCGGAATTGCGGTTCCACGGTATCACGGGGAACTACTGGCTCATTAGATGCCTGTTAATACAGAGAGAAGAGAAATAGTTGGACTTGTACAGTGAAATGCCAGAAGAGAACATCTAATACAAGACTGTGGCAGTCATTTGAATACTCCTTTTCTCACCACCACATGGAAGGGGCTCTTAGGGATGTTCTGTCCTCCAAAGCGGATGGTAATAATATATTTTCCAGGTTCAGGGGCAGTGTAGTAAATGTCAAAGGTCCCATCGTGATTCTCCACCACATCCATGTCCAGCTCCACCCCTTGTGGAGTCAGCACCTTACAGGTCACCTTGCCTTTCCCAGCAGCCTTGGCATCCACCGTAATAACTGTATCCTCAGAGGTCTGCAGTTTTTGAAGACTCGCTGTTAAGGACAGAAAGAGAAGAAGGATGAAGGACAAAAAGTGCAGGATAAACACATTGTTTCCTGGAAGGTTTTCTAACAATATAGCACAGATACAAAATAATTTCTTAGATACTCACACACGCCATGTCCTCCAATAGACACTGGAAAGAAAAAGAGCATGTAAGTGAACATACATATTGAATGATACAATCTGTAAAAATATTCGTATCAATTAAAACCATTATGATCTACAGCCATTGTCTTACCAGTGAGGAGGCATTTGCTGGCGTCTCCTGTGGGCAGGGACTGGATGCGATATGGGGAGTAAGGAATCTCATCTCCTCCATATTTAATGGTGATTGTGTAGGGGCCTGTAGAGTCAGGTACGTAGGACACAGTGTAGGTGCCGTCCCTGTTGTCCTGGATGGATGCATTCTTTGGTTTGCCCTCTGGGTCCTGTCAATAGCACATATTGATTTGTTTTAGATGGTAACATATGATTCAAAAGCTATAAATGTTTTAATAAATGTAGCTGATCCCACCAGAATCTGCACAGTGAGTAGCCCCTCTCCAGCATCACGGGCATCAATGGTGAACTCAACAGGCAGGCTTGCAGACACACCCTTTTTGTCTAGACCAGGGCCACTGGCGCGTACCTTACTGGCATCATGCCCAGGCTGGGACATTACCTTGAATGGACTGTGGAAGGACAGAATATCAAGTGTCATTACTAAACGCAGTCCAACAAAACCAGAAATGAGAACAGAAAATCTGATGAATTACTTTTCTTTCTTGAATCCAGCTAAGAACCTCTATTAAAACATACCTGCATATATGGCTTTTTTAAACTCATACTGTACCTGTGTGGGACTTCCTGATTTGCATATTTAACAGCTACAGTGTAGGGCCCGTCCTGGGCTGGGGTGTAGTGAACTGTGTGAGTGCCATCACCGTTGTTCTTCACACCAACTGGCTCCACAGTACCTGAAAATAAGGCATTATGGAAATGATTATAGACCATACACTAACAGGTGTTTGTCGGTCAGAATGTGCAAAGTTTGTGGGTTTTCACTGTCCAGTGTGTCCACACCTGATGGGCCATAGAGTTTGACATCCAGTGGGGCCTGCCCAGCCTTTGTACAGTCAACTGTGAAAGTCTGAGGAACATGTGCCCTCACCCCAGCGCCCAGACCTGGACCTGAGCACTTCACCTTGCTGGGGTCCACAGGGTCCTGAACAGGAACACGGAATGGACTGCCTGGGATTGGATGACCTCCATAGGTAATATTGACATCATAATCTCCAGGAGTGAAGGGGACATACTCCACGCTACAGCTGCCATCTTTATTGTCCTTGCATGATATTTTTGCTTCTGAGGCTCCCTCAATGGTCAGGCCCAGGCCTCCTGTACCAGCACCCCTGAGAGGAAAGCCAATTTTTATTTAACTAAACATATCCGAGTTAAATCCCCACAAATTTCTCTTTTAAATGTGACCCAACTATACCTGGTCTCCACAGTGAAGCAGTTGGGTTTGTTGGTTATTCCTCCCTCCAGACCTGGTCCATAAGCACGGACCCGGGTCGGGTCACATCCCTCCACCACTGAAACTCTGAAGGGACTTTTGGGTACTGGTGTATTGTCATATAGCACCTCAATCAGATGCAATCCTGCAAACAAATATACATCAGTCACACCTCTCTGCCTGCATGTTCTCAAAACAAGCAAAAATCTTCTGTTGCTTTTAATTATAGGCCACACAAATTTCCTTTTAGGGAGATAAACATCTGTTTATGTATAAAATACACTATCTAGAGTGCAGATGCTCTGGTGAACATGCAAGGCAATACATCTGCTCCCTATTCATTATTCTGTTACAGCATGTTTCTGACAGACCCCTCTCAGTAGGCCAAAATGCCAGATTCCCAGCTGTACATCTATGATATTAGAGCATGTCTGGTGGTGGAGCAGCGCATTGTGATCTCTTTGCTTTGTGTTATAGGTCTCTATTAATATCCCCTGTCATTCCCCTGCTGTATTGCTATGAGGAGGCAGCCTTCAACACACATACCTGCCTGGTTAAGAGCTTCTGTTCCAGAGCACACTATTTATAAAACAGAGCCTGTCTGCCTCTCTACCTCCCTGCTCTCTGCCCCGCACATCATTGCTCCACTGCATCATTCTGTATTTATACCCCTCTCTCTTTTACTTTTCATTTTCCCCCTCTCCTGCTTTATTCCCAAATGGCGCCCGACATGAGCAACTGTCGGTGATTTTTCTGTCTGTGTGCACTCTTTCAGACAGGCTGTCTATTTAAATCCCTCTATATCTATGAGTCAGGTTAGGTTTGTAAATGCTACACTTAGATCTCATTTGCTGGCTGTATCCCCACCAAATGATCCTTTCATTGCATGCATTAACACTGTCAAATGACATTATGTAATATTTTCTCTGTGCACACACCATCCTCGAATGGTGTGTACTCCACTCGGTAGGTGCCGTCTCCCTTGTCAGTGACGAAGCTGTCTGTGTTGGAACCGGAGGGGTTGATAACGCGAACCTTAACATGATTTCCTCCAACCTTGTTGAGGGAACGAGCATCAACAATGAAGTGGGTTGTGACTTCTCTGAGGACCCCTAGAAATAAAAATGGGCTTTTTTATTCAGGTGATTTGTTGTTAAAGAGTAACATCAATCAGTACCAAAAGTAAGACATAAATCTTCACAACTGATTCATGAGCTCTTTATAAACTACTTACATTTCTATTATAGATTGTTATCCATTATCTATTATCAGGGGGCTGTTGTCTTATATAAATCCCTAAAGTAAAACATTTTATCAGACAAGAGTGGAAAACGATATTACAATGCCCCAGAGCCGAATAGGATGTTTTTGTCGAATTAAAAATCCAAAACCTAAAGATAATTAATTTCCAATGACATAAAACAAAAAAAAGCAACAAATATCCACATTTGAGAAGTTAGATGTGGCATTTTTGCTTAATTAAAGACAATAATTCATTGATTATCACATTTTTTGTCAGTGTTATGTTGAAAAACCACTAACTATTTTTTAGCACTACTACATACTGCCAGTAACTCATCTTATGCTTAGGTTCTTGATCTCCTTACCTCTAGGCTCCACTCCTGGCCCGTAGACATGCACCCCACTGGTGTCTACAGAGGGCTCAACCTGCAGGACCTTTGGAAACTGAGGAATCATATGGCCACCATACTTTATTGTGATGGTGTGTGTCCCATGGAAGGATGGGATGTACGTCACAGAGAAGGTCCCCTCTGCAGTTTTCTGAATGTGCACTTCAGCCTTAACCCCGGTCTCTGACACAATTTCGATGGTGAGCTCAGCATCACCTGCTCGGGTGCAGTCCACAGTGAAGGTTGCTGGCTCACCCGCCTTGGCCTTCTCCAGACCAGGACCGCTAGCAGTCACCTTGCTAGGGTCAAAGGCTGGGCGCACTGCAGCTTTGAAGGGAGAGCCAGGGATGTGTTTCTCTGCAAACAGGATGTTGATTGCATACTCGCCAGGCTCAGTGGGTAGGTAGAACACTGAACATGTGCCATCACCATTGTCCTGGCACTCTATTTTAGCCTCGCAGGGCCCCTCCACAGTTAGGCCCAGCCCACCTGCACCAGCTCCCTTTGTGTCAATAGTGAATGGAGCGGGTTTACCCACAATGCCTCCCTTCAAGCCTGGGCCAAAGGCTCGCACCTGCGATGTGACAGTTAGGTCAGTTTTTGAGATGTGGTATTACAAACTTGCATTGAAGAAAAAAAATAAATAAATAAGGCGTCTTATGTTTCTTGAGTAATAAATGTGAACAGAGTGAAGAACTACGTGAGATTTCATGAACTTTTACCTTTGAAGGATCAGCAGGCATCACTGCTTCAACTGCAAAGGGGCTTCCCATTACTGGGTTGCCATCATAGCTGACATCAACCTTATACTGCCCCTCCTCTGGGGGAATATACTTCACACTGTGAGTGCCTTTGGCTTTGTCTGATTCCAGCTTGCATGGGATTGGTCGGCCAGAAGGTGAGGTCATCTTCACACCTACATTGCCCTGCCCGCCAGCACCCTTTGAGTTAACTGTGAACTCCTGATCTTTTCCGACCTCCACTTCTGCACGAAAGGTGAAAATGAAATGCTTAACCTAAGTTTAAAAACAAACACTTGACTACACATTCATTGTAAAAGCAAGAGCATAACATTTCATGTCTGTAACTCACTGGTGTCTAATCCTTCCACTTTCACCTTTCCAATATCCAGATGTGGTGCCACTGTGATGTGAAAGGGGCTCTTAGGAATGGGATCTCCTCCATAAGTCACTGAAATTGCCATGTTACCCTGAAACCAGAAGAAGAAGAAATGTTCATTGGTTAGAGGTGTCATTGTCAGTAATTCTGTTCTAATGCTTTTGGACTTCTAACAGAGGCCTGCAGTACCTTTTGAAGAGCTGTGTACTTGACAGTGTAGGAGTAATCGTGGTTATCGATGATCTCAAAGTCACGAACTGCCTCCCCTGGGCCTGATGCTGCAAAATGCACCTCAGGCTTGGCCTTGCCAGCTCCCTTTGTGTAGATGGTGAAGTGAGTTGGAGTGCCCACCTCCACACCTGAAACATGCATGTTTTAGCTGTACTGTGAATACTAGTTGGTTTTGTGACATAAAGGTACTGTATTTTGTGTCTGCTGCAAATGAAAATGCCTATAAATTTAAAGTGCTTGGTAATTTGGCACATATCTCACCTGTCTTGTTGAGTCCAGGACCCTCTGCTCTCACCTTGCCAGCGTCATGAGAAGGATCTACTTTGACTTTGAATGGACTGATAGGAATTTCCTGATAAAGCCAATCATGATAAAAGATAATACGTTGTCAAAACAAAGAAAATAAAACCATCAGTCCTTCTTCTAGGGGATGCTGTATTCTTACCTGGTCAGCAAACAGCACCATGATGGTATATCGGCCTGGAGCAGGGGGAGTGTATTTGACAGTGAAGGTATCATTGTCATTCTTTATTATGTCAAAGTCGATGTCTGCCTCAGCAGGACCAGCCACCCCTGGAGCACACTTGATTCCAATGCTGATGTCTCCTAATGGTGTATAACAATGAGAACAGCTCATAAAGGTCATTCAAAACCAGATGATCCCAATAAGAAGCAGCCCATTCATTACCTAGAGGTTTCTTTTAAGTATGTCTCATTAAATTTCATGTAACTAAACCTTGCAGTGTAATCTCAACTGCACACATTTGGTTATTATCTTCTTTCTGTGCTTTTCAACATTCATATGATGCAGCAATAATTTCATTAGGAGTGGCCTAAACTCAGAAGTGTTTTTGTAAACTACCCCACCATCTCCTCATACATGCTCACCTTGGCCAGCCTCACCACAGTCCACAGTGAAGTATGTTGGCTCGTTAGCCTTGAGCCCTGTCTTCTCCACTCCAGGCCCATAGACCTTGACTTTGTCTGGATGAGAACCCTCTCCAACCATCACCTAATGAATTCACAGTGTACTTGAGGCAGAAGCTGAAGTAGAACTGCTGCACTACTTTAACTATGTCCACATTTGCTGGAGTATCATTATATTAAATTGACTGAATTTCATAGTTGTGTCTTACCCTGAAGGGGCTGCTGGGCACATTGACCTCCCCCCAGGTGATGATGATGGTGTGTTTAATAGGCTTAACAGGGGTGTACACACACAGAAACGTGCCGTCTTTCTTGTCAGTGATCTTGATGTCGATGGTGTGGCCTTCAGCATCCTTAGTTGATACAAAAGCATGTCAGCTCTGGCCTGTCCAGCCACATCCAATATAAATGATGTTTTCCTATAAATAAATAATGAAGGTTTCACAAACTGCTGCTCTCCAAACCTGGGCATAGATCTTGAGCTGGCCCTTCCCAGCCATGCGGGCATCAATGGTAAATTCAGTTGGTTTGTTTACAATGACGCCAGTTGGCTGCAGGCCTGGACCATAAGCTTTCACCTGCAACAGCAAAAGACATATTTTTTGTTGATTTAGAATCCGCATGGTAACATAATTTATCCCTATATGAATGGTTTATAGTTAAATGAGTGAGAATTGCCTTCTCAGGAAAGACATCATTGGCTGCTGGGAGGATGTGAGCCATGAAGGGACTGTCCTTGATGTCCTGATCATCACAAATGACATGAACAGCATAGTCACCGGGCTCAGTGGGCCAGTAACGAACATCACAGGAGCCGTCACCCTTATCATCACACTCGATTTTAGCCTGTGATGGGCCTTCAATTGAGAAGCCTGTGCGAAGGAGGTATTCTCACATTTAGATTTCATTAAAATACATGAAAAAAATTATCAGCTTCATATCAACTGTAAATGTCTCACCCAGAGTTCCAACTTCTGTGCCAATGGCCTCTACCACAAAGTCAGCAGATTTTCCTACCATGCCCGTCTTCAGACCAGGACCCCAGGCTCTCACCTTCTGGAATCCCGCCTCAGGGCCCACCAGCACTTCGAAGGGGCTGCAGCACACAACAGCAACATTTTACCTATTGTACATGTGAATGTGCAATGTTAATGGATAGCTAAATGCAACAAAAGGACCCTACCTGCGTGCGATGGGCTGGCCTCCCCAGGTGATACTGACTGTGTATTTACCAGGCTTAAGGGGATAATATTCACATTCATACACACCGTTTCCTGCATCTCGCACTTTCACTTGCTCCTCTGCTCCAGCTAAGGACAAATAACACAATCAATATGGAGTCTTAGCAAGTGGAAGAGACATTTAATGCATTTTGTTTTGTGCTTTATTGAATGTGTATGTGAATGCAACCTTGCAGACAAAGAACCCAAACAAACAAATATTTCAACAAATGTACAAGAGTGAGGAGTGATGCTGAGAAGAGAGAGCTGTCTGACTCACTTGGTCCTTTGACTGAGACATTGAGTGCTCCGCTGCCAGCTCCCTTGGTGAAAACTTTGAAGTCTGCAACCTCTTTTACTCTTACGCCTTTAGGCTGAAGTCCTCTGCCTGTAGCTCTGCAGGCATTTGGGTTCATAGCTGAGAGGAATAACAACAAGTGTGAAAAAGAGAAATATTTAGTAAAAAAGCAACTGGGAACAGCGAGCAGTTGACAGCGATGTTAGCAGCAAAGACATTAAAATATCCAATTCAAATGGGATTCCTTAAAGACTGACTGACTGAAAGAACCTGAAAATGGGATTGATGCCTTTGCAGCACATATAACATCAAGTACAGAATGTTGAATGGATATGAGTGCATCAAGGTGCATTATTTCAGTCAGTCACTCAGAAATGTTGACTGCAGGCTTAAACGGAATGCTGGCTGATGCAAAAAAAACAAACAAACATATCAACAGCACAAGCACAGATATTTAACAGAGAAGAACAACATAGACAGAAAGGTAATGCATGACAATCTGTAAACTATCTGTATATCATTGCATTTCAACTCTCTGAATTTAAATGATCAAGCTGCACAACACAAGAAAATGGAGCAGGTGGCCAAGCACCGCATTGAGCCGCAGCACCCAAGTCATAGAAAGCACAGAGGGGCTTGTGCAGGGCACAGAAAGGGGTTGGAAGGTTTGTCTGAGCAACGGGCATAAGCTCCTTCTCAGCAGACTATACTAACTTTGGCGGCCAGGTTTTGGGGGAGGAACCCCCTTCCCACCCTTCACTCCAGGAGGGGTGCACACTGACTTAGGCACTATCTGCAGTGGAGCTCCCATAGGAGGAGCAATGGGCGGAGCTAGAAATGACAAATAGGAAGGGTTATCGTCTATACTGGGCAGCTGTTCCCAGGGAGTATAAAGATGATTGAAGATTCTGATGGATAGGTCACCCTGACACTAACAGCATGTTAGAAATCTGGTTTGTCTGACAGTAATTTACAACCCAGACAGATGGCTCACCCTCAGCGACGTTGACAGTGTAAGGACTCTTGGGGATTTCCTGGCCTGCAAACAGTATATGGATAATGTGAGGCCCATGTAACATGGGACGATAGGTGCAACGGAAAACATGGTCGCCCTTATTCTCCAGGATGAGCTCAACTGTGTCCTTTTTGCCCTGAGGATCGACGATAACCACGCTGATGTCACCGTTACCAGCACCTAAGTGTGAGAGAAAAATAATCAAACCATAGTTTAAGAGTAGCCAAGAAACTTCCAACACTGACATCTTTTATTAAAGTCACATTCCTGTTGTCTGCACACCTCCATGTCAGTATGGAAAATGGTTGAATTTTACATACTTACCAGCTGTGTAGATGTCAAAGTAGGTGGGTTTGTTGGCCACATTGCCTGTAGCCTCCAGACCTGGTCCTCTGGCATGGACTTTGCTGGGGTCACCAATATCCTTCGCCACATTTACTGTGTAGGGGCTCTTGTCAATGTCCTGACCAGCAAACAGCACTTTCACCTAAGAAGAAAAAAGCAGGACAAACTTTAGACACCTTTAAATAGAGTAGTATGCCCACTTTGTGCATTTGTAGACATGATAAGAAAAAACTGCAGCTACTGTAGGCATTACCTTGTGGGCACCCTCAACTTTAGGAACATAGGTGACAGTGTAGGTTCTGTTTTTGTCATTGTTAGCTTTAACCTTCGCCTGCAAAATAAGAAGAAAGTGTTAGAAAAAGATTAGAGGCTACACTCTGACACTTCTAAACTTAGCACCAGGGCTATTTTGAGATGGATAAGTAGACTGTATCTTAATTTTCCCTGTGTATTCAGTTTAACTTGCCTCCTCTTTGTGACCCTCAGGATCCTCCACGTAGACCAGGACTTCACCACTTCCAGCTTCAAGAGTTTCCACAGTGAACACAGCTGGATGCAGCACCTTGTTGCCATGTGGTTCAATACCTGTAGTACACATATGGATACATGGGGTGTGGTGATATACTCAGCTTGGGGCAATAACATTCTGACCAACATACCACAAAGTGACACACCAACAAAAAAAAGTATTAAATAGTTTCTTGAGAGTCAGGTGTAAACTGTGCAGGCGCTAGTGGCCACTGTTTGGAAACACACCTGGTCCATAGGCTTTAACCTTGTTTGGGAAAAGCTGTTTTTGCCTGAGAGGAGCTCCGGGCTTCAGTTTTGCCTTGGGAAACTGAGACAGGTAGGTCATCACTGAGTGCTCGTCCACATCTGGGTCCACAATCTCTTCAGGAGCAATCACCTACAGCACAAAAAGACAACCAGTACAACAGGGGTTAATCATGTTAGTGAATAACTGTTTGTATATTTTTGAAAAATATGGGGCGAAACTGGGTTTTTATGTGACAACCATGAAGCTAAAATGAATTTATGCTTAAACTGATTTTATTGCTGTATGTAAAAAGGCTATGGTTGTATCTTTATACAGCTTTCCCTTATTAAGCTTAGTGCAACTGGATTTAACAAGGATTAAAGCTATTTATTCTTTCCACCCTTATGCCTCTCTCACTTGCAGCATTTGTTTGCCTATCTGTCACATAGTGGCACAAAGCCATGGCCATGCTAGTTATATTTAACCCCACAACAGCGGGGTTAAGGATTGTTGCCCTCAGTAAGCCAGCCTGGGGGATTTATCCTGGGCCAGACCTCTCCCACATCTCCTTAACACCACCAGACTGGAATCTAACCCCCACGTCTGCAGAGCCGTGACACACACCCCCCGGCTATCTCACCAATGCTAAGCCTCATGGAGAGTAGCTAACCCGGTGTCTTAGATAAACAAGTAAACAACCTGCACAGTGCACATTACAATACAGAGACTCAGAGTCTTATAAATGGGACTGGAAATATTGCACTCTCACTCTCTTCACATTGTTATTCTGATGAGCGCAGGCATATTTGCACCTCTGTTTCAGCGGCTAGCTCAGAAGGTGTTAAGAAATCTCACACCTCCACAAATTCACAAATCTACCAAATAAAACTCCTACATACTCACTTAGTGAGAGCTACAATAAAGTAAAAGGAAATATTAGAAGTGAGCTGGGTAATAAATATTTCATGACACCCTCCAGCATGATCTCCCTGGAAAAACACTGAACTCCATATTATGCACAGTACTGCCGTTTTTCAGCTCTGCTTTGCCTCACAGGTGAATGTGCATGTGGTGAGGAATGTTTGTATTGCAAATGTGCCTTGGTACCTGTTTTAAACTGCTTGGAGATGATTGGTGTTTACTCAGCGTCTATCCGCTGAGTATAGACTATGTTACCAATCAGAAAACAGTAGACTTGCTTCTTGCCTTCTGAGATCAACCCCATCTGTGACACCTAGCTGAGCTAAAGAAAACTAAAAACCCATTTATGACCGACACCTATTGTGGATCTTACCTGAGGCACACCCAACCAGTCGTCAGCCTGTTGCATGGCTTCTCTGGCATTCTGCACAGGCTTGTTTGGGTCCCACTCGGCCCAATCAGGACACAAACCTAACAGAATGTACAGGTCGATTAGACAGTACTACACAGACTAATACAGGCAATGTTACACTGCAACTGCTATAATAAGGCCACTTGGGCTGTCACAACTATCTCTCCAACACCTCCAACTACAGCACTGTATGACCTTACCCACACCGCTGTGCTCATGTGAGTTCAAAATGTGTGACAATGAAGGTCAGACATTCAATCTGGCACTTTCACTGCGGCAGAAGCGAGCTCTTCCATGTTGCTAATGCCTAAATTGGATTACTGTGGCAATGGAGTGTCCCCTCACTCAAAAGGCCCATACAGGCACACCATGGATTACTATTATGCAATTAATATAGACACAGGACCACAGTATTGACAGGGTTGAGTTTACATGCATCAGTAAAGTTTGTGCAGTGACAGTGCAGGAAAAGAACTTTGGAAAGTTGGGAGGCACCAGGGTGCCTTCCACCATATTGGGAAATAAAAGTGATGTTAACTCCATAGCCGTGCATTTCATAATGCAATATCACTGTAATGACCAAGGGAAACAGGAGTATGCCATAACTGTTTAACAATAATGTGGATATATATATATATTTTTTTGCCATCTGTCATTTAAAACGTTGGTTTCTTCCTGTTCTGGCCAATGACCTTGTTTTGCACATTTGTATCTAAATTAAAAGCACGACATCTATGTTTCTCTGTTTCAGAGCAGAGCTAGTTTAAGCGGTTACCCTGCTGCTTGGTATTAGCCGATGAAACAACAGAACCTTGTATGGTCAGTGTTGCAGCACAGTGTTTGAAAGATGCATTCGCTCAGATCAGTGGCTCATATAAACACAGTTAAATATGGTGTTCTACAGTCCTCTTGCTACTCCTCCAAGTTGTGCTCTGTGATGCAGGAGTTAGGAGAGGTCCCTAATGTTCAGTGTTGGAAGCAGAAGCCTGAACTGGCAGCGACTCAAATTGTGGCCCTGAGGCTTAGGCACCTCCCTGTGATAGATCACTCTGTATTTTGATGCAAAGCCAAGTATCCCCCCTGACAAAAATTGAGGCATCGTTCCCAAATTTGGGGGTGTTGTGTAGCAGCAAGGCTATAAGCACTAAATTCAGGTTTGGACCTCAGGGCCCGAAACAGTGAGTGAAAGCTTCAGTCACTGTGAAACAGCTGGCAGGGACATCCTCTGGCCATCAGCAACCCAGCGACACTACCTGCTCTCCAGAGACAGATTACACTGGCTGACATCTTCATCTGAATCTGTGTATGTGTACTGTATGTGTATCATTGTGAGGACCGGTTTGAGATCCAGACCATGAAAGTGTGGACAGTTTGGCTGGTCCTCACTTTTCCATCCACCTTCAAAAAGTTTAGATTTGTTTTAAGGATTAAGGGTAAAATTAAGTTTAGGTCTTGGTGATTAAAGTTATGGTAACGGGCTAGGGAATGCATTATGTCAATGCATTATGCTAAGAACAGCTGTACATGTGTGGATGTGCTCTAAAATATATGAGGAATATATAGCCTCTTTTCTAAATGTGGAGCAAATTCTCCTGAGAGGACGATACTGTTTTAAATACACTGACTGACACATGCCTGACCCCAACCTCTATAGCAACGAAGCAAAACCGCTATATACAACAAGGCTGCCAACAGCCACTACATGTATTCTGAATCAGCACTTACACTACATGCTTCTTACCAGGGGCACAATTGTCAACCAGAGCTCCCAGGGCTTTACCATCCCGCCAATCACGATTGAAGTTGCTGATGGGCAGCTGGGGCACTTTGTTCTGTATCCAGCCCAGCAAGCGCTGTTTGGGGGTCAGCTTCTTGACCTCCTCGTCATCCTCGTCATCCCACATGGGCATGGAGATAGAGTAGTGGAGGATGAGAGTCCAGATAAGACCCAGGATCAGCTTTAGATTCCCATCCACAATGGCTTTGCTATCTGTGGTTGAACAGTAGAAAGAGAGCAGTGTTCATGAGGATTTACAACCTCCAAAAGTTCACATAATGCACCATATCTTACAGCACTAGGTGGCACACTAGTTAATTGCATCATCAAACTATATTTTAATTCTTAATTGTTAATGAGACCTTTCGGGGAGACTTGCAAAATCTACCAGTGAATTGTTTTATATCCTGTGTGACGCCCTAATACTAAGTCTATTATTTTGAAAATAGTCCTTCCTTGCAGAGTTGACCAGGCTATTCTGAGTAGAAATATAAACACTGATGATTGACTGCTGAGGAGACAAGAATTTAATGTTCCTCTGCTTCCCCCGAGCCTCTCTCTCTCAGACAGCTGTCTGGCTGAGGACCCCTGACAATCTGTCATCCAGTCACAATGGTACTCTGAAGACAGTGACAGCTGAGGATATGTGGAAGTGCATAAATACCACTTGGATTTCAATTACCTCCAAAACCTGTAGTGCCAGAATGTGATAAATGAAATAGGTGCAGATTAGAGTCATTGACAGCCAGCATGCACCTCATTTCCTGAAATTCTCTGAGGAAAAGTTTGTCAAACAAGCCATTTTAAATCCACTTTAATTTAGAAATTCAGCCATTTAAAGCCCACTTTAATTTAGAAATTCAGCCATTTAAAGCAGGATAACCTCTGAGGAGTGCTAGACTTCGGTGTTTCATCGTCGACTAATCTTGTGTGATACACTCCAGTTAATTTATTAAGACTAATAAAAGAGGGAGTTTGATGCCAGTTGTTTATCATGAGACTGTTTTATTGAAACTATTTATCCCTTCACAGATCGGTGGTGCTCGTGTCACCGTTTGACTGGCATGGACAGGTGGCATGAAATGGTTTTGATCCCGCCTTGTCTGGCTCTGTGGGCAACTGTGTGATCACAGAGACATCCATCAAATGGCATCTAGTTACACACTGTGACACATGTGCAACTAAGCCAGTGGCGATTATTTTTGTGTCCCTGGGTCACTGTAATGAGACTGAGACATTATCTTAAGAGAGCTCCAATGACCCACTAGAGATGCAGGCAGAGTGAGGGTGGTAAGAAGTAAAATGCCAGGACTTCTATTATCGTGCCCCGTTTCTGTCAAAACAGTCTGACCTAGTGTGTCTGCACAGCTGCGACAACCTGTGCCAGACACACACTAACATATTTAAGTCCTAGACACACACTCTACAGAATTTGAGGTACTATCTGTAACTGACCTTTGCCCTATTGTGATACACTGAGGATTATGATCACCACTGAGAGTTTCCCCCAGTGCAATCACACACACACACACACACACACACACTCAAACTAACACTTAGTGCATGTCTAGGTGGACACACTGTGGCTTTCATAGTCCACCGACCAAAGCCTCAGCAACACCGGGAATTTCTCTGGAGTGTATTGCACCATTCATTAGTCACCAAAATAGAAGAATAATTTGTCAATCAACTATTCTCCTATATGATTTATAATTAACCCATAGCGTCTTCATATTCCTTCCTCAGCTGTTAAATAGTTTTAAGATGTGGCAATCTGTTCACTCCCATTGTGAATCTGTGGATGTGACACATGTATGAATTGTGCTATTCCTATTAACACAGTCCCAGTGTTTCAGTGAGAGTAAGCTAACGCTACTAGGCCCTGGCCCTGACACGAGTTCATGACTTTAGTGGCACCGCTGCAGTAACTTTCCAGTAAGCTGTCAAACCGAGCTCAATGCTGATTTCCAGGGTCCTGTGAAATCCATGTCTCACCACTCACTGACACCCAGGCTGATAACAAACCATCAAAGTGTTGGTGAAGATATGGCAGTGTTAAAAATATCAAAAGCTATGAAATGTTTTTGTCATTTCTCAACTTTTAAATATCAAAGCACTACATCTTGGACCTGGGTGCACACTGTCACTGTCTGCTCCCATACGTTTCTGCTTTTTATATTATTATTATTATTGCTTCCTATCTAATAATCGCCTGGCAACTTTTTATGTCTGCATTTTACAGCTGAATGTTTCCATTAAAGAGACTATCTTACCTATTGAGACCAGTTTGATATGCTCTCTGTCCAGGAACTCTAGCGCCACAGAAACGTTTTCCAGTTTCATCTGACGGAAGTTGGGTCTGTTGTGGTATTTTCTGTACATTTTCTTCTGGCTCAGAACTTCCAGGAGTGAAATGAGCTTCAGGCCATCACTAAAATCCTTCTGCAGGTCTAGGATGGTCTTATTGACGCACTTGAGGTGCTCGTTGCACCACCTGGTGAAGGTGTTCTGCTGAATCTTTTTCCATGGCGCGTCCTCGGCCAAGTCCTTCTCCGTGGCTGGCACCTCGTCTTCCCCCTCCTCCCCAAAGTCAGCGGCCTGGTAATACTGTGGAGGCTGCTGCTGCTCTTCGCCGTAGTTGTTACTCATCATGACGGTACTTTCTGGATCCACTTTTACACCTTGGTGACACTTGTGTGTTGAATTGAATTGAAAATTGAGCAGGTCGATGGTAAGCGCGCGCTCTCGCGGAACAAAGTTCAAACTTGGAGAAGTTTAAAAATCAGCCGAGAGATTGCGAAGAAACCACTTATGTCAGGACAGTGATGGATTAAATGATCCGTTTTAGAGTGTGGAAGGCAGCTGGTCGTCCGCTGTTTTAATTGGCACCTTGTCGGGAGGTCGTTCGTTTTCTATAAACAGCGTGTTGCTGTTCGTGGTAGGTGAGCTGTAGCCGCACTGTTGGAGTTCACTCCAAACGTGTTCAACTTCGGTGCTTAGAGAAGAAAGAGATGGGTTTATAAAGGACCCCGGGCCACGTCACTCGGCCTCTGTGATCATAGTCTATTTGTTAATGCATAAGGATAATGGGGGTCGGTTTACGGAGAGAATGGGGCAGTGATTGGTCAGACCCCACCAGCGCAACTGTTGTGGCATGCTCCTTATTTTAGGCGCTCCTATTTGGGCGCATGGGGGCTGGGACTTAAGATAGTTGCGAATCTGTGTCATTCCCAGGATCCAAGTGACTGAACAATTGCGCTATGAAAAGAAAGCGAGAAGTGTCCAAATAAGCTGTTAGTGTACAAAGTATAATAATGAGAAAAGTCAGGTTGCACACATAAAAATCTCTCACTGACGCCCGGAGAGAGAAACACTTTAAAGGATGAGGTCATCCTGGTAAAAACGAAGCAACTGCGTTAGGTCTGTACAGACTGTATCAGCTATCTGTCACCCCCTGAGTGCAGTGCATGTCCACGTAGACAGACAAAGGTCAGTACAAGCTTTGGGAGGGCTGCAGGAACATTCTTGATGTTAAACGAAGTTGTTTATCTAGGTTCTCGTATTATCTTTCTGCACCATCCAACAGTGGTATGTATTTAAATATAATGCTGGGAATGTGTTCAGCCATGTCACCAACAAAAAACAGTGAATATTCACAGTTAACTCACAAAATTAATAATAAAATATTTTTTGAAATTGCAATATGCACCTTTAAATGGTCTTTCCACACGATTTGGTTTCTCTTCAAGCAAAAAAAAGGGCAGACATTAACCAGCTTCAGTTTGATCAGTGACAACATTCACTTATTGAAAGCTGTATATAGACAGGGGCAGCAGTGTAGAAAAACAGATGATCTTTATACAAAATGCTTCAGTACCAAGGAGTACTGTTTTCTCTGCAGGTTTAGGAGCTGTCATGGCGTCGTGACTCAGCAGCCACTGACACCACATGCCAGTACCAGCCTGGATGAAGTAGTGGGAGGTAAGATTAACCATGACACATGCGAAAAGCATTCTTAGGATAGTCTGGAGCAGCCAGGAGTCCCCTTGGTGATCTCTCACCATATAATAAGATACCCTAAAGATTTTTTGTATTCATTTTAAACCATTTTTAACAGTTTATTAATAAGCTACTCTACATACTGTAATTACACACGCCCTAGATTTAAGCCACTTTCCACTTGTATCAATTGTCAGAGCAACCCACAAATCGCAGGTCATCTCAGTGGTCTCACTTTCACAATCCTTTACACAGTGAATTTGATTTGCTCCCAGCAAAACAGAGTTTTTACGTCACTTGTGGTGGGAACAAATTGTCCCTTGGGTTTAGAGCTTTACTCCTCTCTGCTATTCTCCTGGAACACCTTGGATAGTTACAGTAAGACCTTGGCATTGCAGGATAATTTTATGCTCCACTCAAACCATGCACCAGAATATTCTCCAGTAACAAGTAAAAACTGTGCTGTCTCTACTGTGGGACAGTTCAGCCCTTGGAAGTAAGGCTAACAATAACGAAGCAATACAATTTATTATGTTTCCATAAAAGCATTTTTTTCATGTGTGACACATAATTATTTTTTACTGCAAAGAAAATGTCTCTTACGAAGAATAATGTCACAAAAGTGTCTTAAGTTTTTATGCTCAAACTAAATCATTAGAAAGCTCAATTGCATTTACATTTGTCACAGTTTGAAACCTTAGTTAAATAGTATTTCTTAAATTATCACTAAAATAAAAAAAACATATTTCTGTGCCTGTGTCTAACTGTTCATAGGAAGTATATGTGAATAAGTACACTGAAAACCAAATCTGTTAACCTGAACAGTGTTCGCTTGACATAATATCTCAGAGACTGCCCATGGCTGCTCTGTCAGTCAACCGCCACCATTTTAATTAATCCCCGTTAGCCTGTCAGCGCAATATATTAAATATTTATAAAAGGATTTGGGGTGAAGTTGCTGGACAGATAGGCTTGAGGCCAAGGCAGCTGATTAGATTTTTCTGGTGTTTTGGATCTAACATTTGAAGAAGCTGCTTATTAGTTAGTTAATTAGTTAGTTTCACCCACTACCTGCCCATATTTAGTCTATTTTTTAAACTGTACTCATACCTGTAAATTATCCTAAACATATCTTTTACTTTTAAGACACTTTTCATTTCAGAATGAATCAAGAACCTGATTCAGAATCTGTTGGGAATATTTGCAGGTTTAGGTTAGCTAATTTAACTCAAACCTAAAGTGACAGAAAGAGGTTAATTGAAGGTTTATGCCAACTGTACCCCATGGCTAATTCTTCATGAAGGTGCACATCCAGGTTACTTTTAGATAATTAGCTGCACTTAAACTTAGTAAACCATGAGTCATGGCAGTGGAGTAATGACTATAGTTTAGATGCCTCATCAGAACGTTAACACATCACTTCCTACCATCTGTGAGCTTATGTCATGTCTCTGGAGTGAAGGTTATTAATATCTGTACAATCCCTGTAACATGATGCCAACAAAGAGAAGGTTCTCACTCAGATTGAGTGCTGGTGATTTCATGAATGGGATTCCTTGATACCTTAAATCCCGTGACTGTGACAGCTGCTGAGGCTACCTCGCAAGAAAAGAAAGCTCTCAGACACCATGTGGGGCAGGTATATTTACTCTCTCAAGTCATTTACAGTACAAAATAGACCTCCAGGTAACAAAATAGCCACAACTAAATTGGAAACAACAATGCCATCAATATGTAAAGCAGCAAGCTGAGAAACACTGTGCAATATAGAAGTCTGCAAAACTAAGATAAAGTTCATATTCATGAAATAACCTCAGAAATAATGATAACGGCCTGAATCAGACAACATTCATATGTGCTGTTTCAGCCTATGAAAATTAAATTTCTATTGCAAGATGATTATTTTAAATCGACAGTGACAACATTTGCAGTCCAGTGGCACATTATTTTCTTAGCAAGTGATCATACAGACAAATAACATTGGTTAGATGGTGCTTATCAAGGTCCTGTTTAATACCAAATGTTGCAGGAAAGGTTCCAATACATCAGTGAATTTTAACTAACTGGAAAACCCAGGAGTCATATTGCTTTCTAGCAACTAAGGTCAAATGCAATCTAAATGCATGCGATGGCTACAATACTCTTGAACATACATTAGATGTTCTAAAAATGATTAGCGATGCTAGTAGGTCTTCTGAATAATGTCACCATAAATAAACATTTACATAACATATACTTTGGCTATCAAATATACGATGCTCTTTCAAAATAGAATAAACTTTCTACAAAGCTAGTACAAATGGATTTAAGAAATGTCTCTCCCATAGTACTATATGTCACATCTATTTACATGAAATACAAAGTAACAATCAACATAACCAACATAAATCATATACTGTGCTTCTATGCATTTAGCATGCTTTTTTAGTCCTAAAAGATTTTCACACACAAAAAAATTCACAAATGTAAACAATAGTCCTTCCACGTATACATGTATTTTTTGTACTTTAATCAATGTTTGGACAAACAACCTTCTTATTTACATATTTTGTTTCTAAAATGCCCTCACAAACAACTAACCCTGATCCCTCACGTAGGTGTGACCTATTAGATGTTTATCTGCAGTTTATCTGTAAACAAGTGAACACCAACATTCACCATTCTCACACTGTGTACCTTTAACAATCCTGCAGTCACCATAGGCTAAATCTTATAGCAATACACTTGGAAAAAGCAAGATATATAAATCCTGCTGGAGAGAGAAAAGTTTATTTCTCCACACTGAAACCCATATCTAGTTGCAATGTAAGAAAACATCCCAGAATTTGCTCCTAAGGTTACTGGGATATTTGTACTTGTACATAGCAAAACAACAACCATACTGTAAATGTAGCAATGCAACTTTTTTGCGTAAGAGTTCAGGTTCATGAGCAGGCAAGATTAATCAGAAATACTGCTTACCAGAAATACTTTCTGGTATTCGTGGTTAACTACCTAATTAAAGGTGACACTGAGGGCAGGCAGAAGAGACAGAGCCTGAAGCAAAGCACACTGGAAAACTTTCCACCTACCAGGTATGACATCAGGTTAAACGTCAGTTTTATACATATTCCTGGAGGAACAGCTGTTTAGTTAGTCACATTGTCGCCTAGTAATAGCATATCATTGGTGTTTACAGTGGATCAAATGATGCCTAATATTGGGAAGGACAGAATAACACTTGCAGGCTGGTAAATATGGTAGACTGATGTTAAGTCATAAAGATTTTGTGACTTCTAATACAGTTTTGCAGTAATTGTGCTTTATAATGCTTTTAGCATGGAGGAGTGGGGAGTAACTGATAGTCAACAACTCAGTATCAAAAATGCAAGCTGCTCTTTCTCTTAACATTTGAAGGGAATATGTATGTGTCAAGGTTTTCAGTGTGTCCAGACTCCGCGTTTGCTGTTATTACCAGAGGTAACCAATATTTAAACAAACAAATAAATAAATAATGGTTCAATAAATTGAACCATCTGGTGCTCATTAATAATCAAACCCCTCATTTCATTACACTGTTAGCTGAAGGAGAGAAAACAATATTCACAGATACAGAGGAGGAATGAAACAGCACTTGCATACATTTAGTGGAGTGAGATCGATCCTCATGTGGGCTCTCTGCAGGTCAACTCTTCATCATAGCATCATGGTAGTCTCTTCATCAAACACACCAGTAAGATGAGACTGAGCACATCATTCTCCATCAGTGTGTGCAAGAAGTACCTTCTCATTAGAGCTAAAGAAATTTCCATACATTTTCTACTATGCAGTTGTCAGCTCTACCATATTTAGGAACATTCCAGTTCATTCTACAGACATGGCAGGATAGAACAATAGCTGGTCTGGAGGAGATATCTGTCCCTGTGCAGTTGTTGCCCATCCAATCAACATCGCACCAGAGCTCTCAACAAGCTAGTCATCATTAGTAGCACTGCTGTGGCTGCAGTGATAGTCAAAATGGAGTTCCAACCTACCTCACTCCCCTGAGGGAAGAAAGGAAAAGAAGTGTGTCAGAGGCAGCAGAGGACATAAACCAACCACACAGAGCTTTTAAATTAATTGTTTGACTTTAGGAAATAAACAGATGATTTGCTGTGGCGACCCCTAACGAGAACAGCCGAAAGTAGAAGAAGTTTGACATTAGGAAATTCTGGATGTTTATTTTGATTCTGATAGAGAATGAGATGAGAATATTGTTAAATATACAGTAGAGGTGGAGCTAGGGTGCTGTTAGACTAGCTTAACATAAAAACCGAAGCACGAGGAAACCACCCGCCTTGCTCTGTCCAAAATTTAAAATTTGTGGTTTGTGGTCTCTCTGGTTGTGGTGACAATGAAAGATTGGCGATGTAACCGTGTTTGGCCAACGGTTACAGTAGCTCTTAACTATTACCAAGACCACAAATGATTGGTCCTAAATTTAAGTTTGTGTGTCAATTAGAAAAACAAAATTACAGTGCTTCAGATGTGAGGGTAGTTCCACATTCCCCCTCTGTTCAGTCTTTATGCTAAGCTAGGCTAACCAGCTGCTGGCTGTAGTTTTATATTTTCCAATCCAAATATAAGAGCAGTATCAACCTTCTCAATCTTTTTTTGGCAAGAAAACAAGTAACTGTATAATCACAAAATGTTGACCTATTCCCGTAAATGAATTATTCACTGTAATTCATGGAAATTGTTGCCAAACTGCCCACCCGTCCCATGTCCACCTACACCTACAACATACAGATACAGTATATTGTCGTGTTTGTTAGTTCAGACCCTCCCATAACAACCAAATGAATCCTAAGCAATAAAGATCCCCAATAACTAGTCTTAAAGGGTGGGTTCACCAAAATAACAAAAGCACATCATTTACTCTTGTGCTATTGTAGCACTGGCAGAACAACTATAGGTAAGTGAGAAAATGCTTTGTTTTGTTTTTTTGGTGAATCTGTGTTTAAGATCGATACACAGCACTACACATCAGAGATAGGCTCTTCCCATACCTTGCTCTCTGGGACGCCAGCTCCGACAACCAGCACCAGATCACAGCCACTATAACAATCATTCCTATGAAGGGGATGGAGAGAACAGGGTGCTCAGATGGATGGATGAATCTCTAAGAGGGGAATAAAAGCAAACACAAGGACCGTGGGGATGAAGGTGAACGGACAGATGGGTTGAATTAGCCAAATAATAAACACACAGATAAAAAAAGGGCATGACAACAACATAAACAGACCACCAAAACAAAAATCGCTAAATTAAATGTGTGACATGGCTGTGATTCAAGCAGGAAGGGTTGTGGTAGACTGATGTATATTTCCTATTAAAGAAATTATGCATAACCTTATGGTGATATACACGTCAACTCAATGTGAATATGTGTGAGCAGTCCTGTGTGACATTTATTAGCAGTGTGTGATGTTATAGTGACAGGATAAAAGAAACACATGCAGCATGAATGTTTCATACGGCAGTATTTTTGTCTCTCTATCCTCATTTTATAGTTCATTTGTTTTTGATATTAAACAGGCTGAGCGGACATGGACATTCAGAGAACAAGGACAGCATCGGAGACAGGCACAGGTTGACAGTTTGACACAAGGCAGGCATCTCATCATGGCTGTTGTAGACAAAACACAGTTCCTGTGTTTTTTTATTTAACTTTTAATACTTTCCCATTCAATTCACTGAGAAAGTGTGTTCAAACGTCTGACTGGCAGTGTACATACAATGCATGCAACCACTGTCTGAAATGACAAGAACTTGACGGCACAAATTTGTGCAATAGTGAAACTGTGACTAATGTAAAACTTGACATACTACTAACTGCAAATATTAACTACTTCAGACACCTTTCATTTCACTGCAAGTTCATACAGCATCTTATTAAAATCCAAAATTAAAATTAATAGGTCTCAAGGTAGGAAGAAAGCATTTAAAAATTGAAAGGCGCAAAGGTCCTTTAATTACTTTGTTTCTACTGAAAAATGTCTGAAGCCTACTGCACTGTACATAGGATCCAGTGGTAACATAGGCATTCTTTGCTTAATGCCGTATTTGTTAATTTAGTGTTTTTGTCCAACAACAGCATTAAAGCATTGCTGTCACAGAGAGGTTAAGACACAGACACAATAGGGGGCAAAGGCTCCCCCGCCCAAAGCACAGAATAAATACTGATATGGGCTGACAGGCCAAGTCAGTTCATATCAAAACATATGATACTAGCCACAGTATGAGACACAAAGAAGTGGGAGACAGAATACAGTAGGTGTGATATGATGTATGTTATGTGTTAGCTGACAGCGCGGGTGCAAAGAAAAAAGTTTTTAATTGAGACGAAATGTGGTCTGGAAAGTCCCTGAGCTAGCTTGAGTTCAGCTTAATCTTGAAATAAATGAAGTGAGAAACAAGACAGTTTGCTCAACAGATCCAGTAGGAGTCTCCAGTCCAGGATGCCAGAGGTGACTGAAATGTCCTAGAGCATAGATCAGCATTTAAATCAGTTTTCTTTCTTCTGATATCAACTGTGTAAGGTTATTCATGTCTGTCCCTCACCTGAGCACCCCCGGACAGCTTCTCCAGCTCCGCCTTGCAGCGCTGCAGCTCCTCCTCCAGCTCTGCTCTCTCCCTCTGACTGCTGTCATACAATACCTGCAGCTCCTGCAACTCCATCTTCAGACCATCACACTGGAGGACAAAGGTCAAGGAGAGTTGTTGAGCTGAACTGGATGCACCCAAAAGAAGAATTATCTTTGACCCACATGTGCCCATGTTTTACTCATATTTCTAGTCAACTCCGGAGGTACTGCTAAGACGCTAAGGCATCATACCTCTCTCTGAACCTGTAAGGCCTTCTCCTCGGCCTGTTTTAGCTGGTCCCTCAGGGAGAAGATCTCCCCAATGCCTCCGTTCCAGCTGGTTGGTGTCACAGGCTTCCCATCAAATGAAATGTTCTTCTGGATGGAGGCGTCCACCAGGCGACAGTTCTCAGACTGGACTATGGTCATGTAGCTCTCAGTCATGACCTCCTCCGAGCCTGTCTCCATCGCCTTCTCCTCTGTGCCCTCCCCTGCATCTTCCTCTTTCAGTGACAGGTAGACACTGGAGCTGTGAGGAAGATGAAAAGGGGTATTGGCAAAGAATGCAGTATACTTTTTCTGTTAACTGAAATATCTGAAAGCTCAAAAATGGCCTCCAAATGTGCTGAGTCCCAGAAGTCTCAGTCTCAAAAATGGTGATTAATTTAACATTATTAAACCATTCAATTATTGAAGCAACAGTCTCAGCACTTATGTGTAATCCCTGATATGATATTACAAATTTACTGCAGTGATTAAACAGTTGGCCAGTATTTTCTAAACGAGACAAATGGCTGTGACGAGGGGATGTATTCCAGAGGGTGTCCCCTCCAGTTGATCTGGTAAGCGCAGCTGATGAGTGAGCGGTGATTGACCTCTCACCATGTCCTCTGTCTCTGCAGCAGCTGCAGCCTCTCTGAGAGGCGTCTGTTGTCCTCCTTTAGGGCCTGACACTCCTCTCTCAGCATACGACACTCTTCCTTCAGCAGGTCCACATCACCTAACAGAAGGAAGGTCAGAGATGAAGATAATAAATAAGGATGAAGGTCAGCTCATCGTCAATCTTACCACTTGAGATTTTGACTACACTGCCCCTAAACTTTAATAGTCACACCTGTGCAATTGCACGCACTTCAGTGCAACACTGCTGCCTTAGCATCTGTGTTTATAATATTCTGACCCTCTCATGTATGTAGCTGGGGAGGACAAAAATATAGAAACACCTCTGAATATAATGTAGTCCAGTACAACACCTTTAACCATGACCACAATAATAAACATATAGTTGAATTTCTACATTTATGACAATGTCGCCAAAAACTGAAACATTTTGAGCTTCATAAACACAGATGCTAAGGCAGCAGTGTTGCACTGAAGTGTGAACAATTGTACAAGCCTGACTTTTAAAGTGGCTGGGCAGTGTACATTACAACATATATAAAATATATTAAAGGAACAGTTCGACATTTTGAGAAGTGCACTTATTGCCCATGTTGGTGGGAGTTAATATGCCTGTTAAATATGGAGCTACAGCCAGCAGCCAATTAGACTCCAGTACAAAACACCCACACTGTGGATGATGTTTTCATAAAAGAGCATGACAATTAGATAATGGGAACTCCTCTTCTCCCTCAGTCCCACCGGAGGCTCAGCTGCAGAGCTGAGCAGTGATGTCATAGGTTGGAAGTGCGTGTCCCTCCCACTCATGACTTCACGTCCCTGTTATCCTAAATGACACACACATACACACACCGCTCCCTTTGTAGCACTCACATTTAAAATGTTTTAAATATCCAAAATGTTTTATGTTTTTGACTGCAGGATGCTGATATGATATAAACCTTTACACTGATATGATTTTCATTATTTTACTGGAACTTTCTTCATATCCACTCCCTGACTATTTGTGTTACTTCTGTGGATGAAGGGACATTTGCACTAGCAGAATGTGCATTAAATGTTATGTTAATGAAAAAAATAATATTTGTTTTGCTCTTTTTGCCATTTCAAAGTAAGGGGACACAAACAACTGCAAGCATGCAAAAAGAACATCCACCACATCGTGCTTTGTTTTCATAATAGCAGCCACAAAAACTAATCGTCATCTACTGGCACTAATAGTAAGCTGGATAAATTCCAGTGTTTTAGTGCACCATTCTCCCTGATAACTGTTTACATAAGGTGTGAAGATGACGTATAAAACAAAGACTTATTGTATTTGAACTCTGATGTAGTATAAGTAAAACACTTGTACAGTATGGGAGGGGCAGGTATGTGTTTTTACTGAAACCACCTTCCTTTAGTCATCCATCCTTCTTTTATGACATTCATCCATCTAGATCATCAACTCCATTCTCCGCATCCCTCACCCTCTCTCCTCTCAGCCTCCCTGCGCTGGCTCTTCATGTTGATCTCGGCCCTTAGTGTGGTGATCTCGAGCTCATACTCCTGGGTCTCCTCGCTGAGGCGCTGCAGCTCGGCACGCCGGCGACATAGCTCTTCCTGCAGTGTGGCAATGTCATTTTCCCGCTCTGCTGCCGCCTCCTCTGCGGCCTGCTGCAGGAGGAGCACCTCCTCATGAGCGGCACGCAGCTCCTCCTGGGCCTCGGCCAGCTCGCTCTCCTTCTCCTCCTCCAGGCTATCCATCTCCTCCTGCACAGAGCGCAGCTGGGCTGTGGGGAGAAAAAGAGGAGCAGGAGAACTTTAGGTTTTCTTTATGAGTTATGTGTGGGTGAGAATGCAGTATCAGTATGGGGTGTATACAGTACTGTGTGTGTGTGTGTGGTGTGTGTACGACAACCGTAGGCCTGGATGTGTTTGTGTGGGTGGCGTGTTCTTGTGTGCGTGTATGTGGATGCCTTATGTGTGGGAAACCTTTTGGAAGAGGAGCTGATGTAACTGATGGTAACAGATGTTTTACTGTAATATTTTCAGGAAATAAAACATTCTGTACCTCTCACAATAACAACAAGAGCAATAAATTACAAGGTCACTGCTATAATAACAGTATTAACTCATTCAGCAACTGTTTTACTCTAATATGTATGTACCTCTTTTCTTTTCTTTATTCATTTGACTTCCTCTCGTATTCACAGCCAATACCCCGTTTTGTTGGTGATACTGTATTAACACTGAGATGTATTTCATTCACTCCTTCTCAGAAAAAAATTGGCCACAAAAGAGACATTGCCCCCAAATCAATTAGCCAAATAATTGCAAGCATTTAACATGTTCTACTCAATTACAGCCCACTCTGCTTACACAGCACTGAGACTTTTCAGTAGACAGCTGCCGACAGAGTTGAAATCCATGCAAGGTGGGGGCTAGGTTGATTCATGCTAACAAACTGTTCTTTATTGGCAGCTTACACCACAAACTCAGCATTGACCTCATCTAAAAATGTAGGATGCAATATCTGATTTGGATTTTTGGTTATTCCTCCCGTTTCAGTTGCTGATAGATTTAACTGAAAACTTATTATTATTGTCTGTGTGCTATGATTTTGTTACCTTGTAGATTCTGGATCTGGCGGGTAAAGGCTTCAGCCTGATGGGCACTGGCCAGACGCTCATCCTCCAACAGACCTGGTGGAGAGGTGAGGTGAGGAGAGAAGAGATCAGGAGTGGGTCGGGGGATAAGAGGAACGTGTCGGTTTAGGTTAATAGAAAAATGGCAACTTGATAAGCTGTTCCACCTTGAAGCATGACTGAATTACACAAACCATTTTGTGTGTCTGTTTTAAATACAATCCGAGCAGGACCATACATTTAAAATGTTAGTTTATAAATTCATAAATATTAGTTTTATTGGACAGTGAATCTCCTAACTTTTAAGGACAGCATAACAAAATCAAGCCAATTATTTTGGCTGCTATTTTCACAGCTTTTGGTTTGCGGCTATTTTTAACTTTCTATTTATTTTTGGTCCCTGCTGGTATGTGTCATGCCAGGCAACTTCTGTTGCATTAATCAGTGGAACTCATTGAAATTACAATTTAAAAATTATAATAAAAATATACATGTTCTTATTTACTACTAGGGCTATCTACTAACTAGTCATGGAGGTATTTAGAGTTTACATTTTTAAAAGGTAAATCTAATTTACAGACATTTGTGATCCACAGAGGATGATGCTTATTGATTTTGGTGATTCCCCGGCCATTCCTCTGGTGCCTCTATCACTTCAAACTTTTAATTAGTCCAATATTTTGTTTTATGGCCAAATGCATACAAAATTAATCCATCTCTTAACTGATGCAGCTGTACTTTAGCAGGCTAACATACTAAACTATGATGATGATGAACATGGTTAACATTTCATTAAAAGGGGTTTAACATAGAGACACACTAGTGTGACTGTAGGCTCTTAGCCTTTAGTTTTAAATGTGGAAAGTCACTAGCATCAAATGTCATGGGGAATCCAATATCCAGAAATATTGTATCTTGAAAGAAATGTTTTAGAATTTTGAATCAGCTTTACCTTCTCTGACTTTTGGCCGCAGTGTCATTCTGAGTATTTCTCATGTTCTGTTTTCAGATCATCCCAAACTTTGACCCATGTTTCCTGCTTGCAACATATTGCAACTAGTTTAACTGGTGGCTGTGGTGGGACTGGCATGTTGCATCAATAATCATTCATAGCCATAGATACTGTATATACTTGATCTTTACTTACCCCTCATTTTATGTCATTCTCTGTTCATGCACAGTGTGGACCTACCACCACCACCTCTAATGCTATACTCCTCAACAGCTGCCATCAGCCTAAACAGCTGACTGTTCCCAGTGGGAGTGGATGAAGAGTGAATTTCATGACCTCTAGTCTGGAAGCTTCCCTCAGCATGCACACAGTTGTCTGAGGAATGCCTCCGCTGCCGCCAAACAACTGAGCTCACAGTTACAAGCAGTCACTCATAAATATGCACACACACACACTGAGCTCACTGTAGCCCCATACCTACAGTGTCACTCACTGCTTGAGTCCCTGAACATTAAGTTCATCATTTCTAAGGTATGATGTGGAGCTCCATTTAGCATCAGTGACCAAATATAAACATTTATATTTCTGTGTATTTTGATAGACGGTGATGAAGAAGAGATGTCTTGGGGTAGGAGTGCACCATCACGCGTAAAGAATTGTGGAAATGTAAACAATCGCTGAGATGCAGTGAAGTGGAAATGTGGTTGATCTGAAATAACAGATAATAAATGTTGAGATCTCCCATACAGGAATTCATGACATTTTACAACAAAACTCAAGGTGTTTCGTAAAGACAGTGCAGATGGCAAAAGGTTCGTACACATTTCATTGCACTGTGTTTTTAGACTTGTTTTCCTCATTGATATATTCACTGGAGAGTAAAAGAAAATTCCATTGTTCCTTAATCTGGTTTTGTCTAGGTAGATTTTTACTCACCACCTACACTGTAGAGATGTGGGAAACGTAGACTTAAGAAACCTGGGTGCAACAACTATTTTGTAGCAAAAAAAGAAAAAAACAGCTTCACAAAAACAATTTGGCAACATCATGTTTCACAAATAATTGTCACCTACAAATAGAACATACATTCTCAAGCCTGGGGTGCAAGATTTTTTTTTTATTTGAAGAGTTAATTGGGCCAAAATTAACACAAGTGGAAAACATCTCACTTGGTAAATTTCAGCTTGCATGTTGCAATTTTCTTTCAGTTCCAGCAGTCTTACCTTGCAGCTCATGGAAGCTCTCCTGGTGTTTGTTGGAGGTCTCCCTAGCATCCTCCAGTTCCAGCAGCAGCTGCAGCACCTGGGCCCTCAACTGCTCCAGCTCCTGCTCCTCTGTCAGTGGCTCCTGCTCCTTCTTCCCCTTCTCTTCTCCTTCTCCTTCCTCCTCCTTCATCTTCTTCTCATCCCCCTCCTCCTCCTGAGCTCTCTCCTGGTCCATCTGCTCCTTCTCATTGTTCTCCTCCAAGACTCCTCTCTCCTTGGCTGTTATCTCGTTGTCCATGGTGGGGCTGCTCTCAGCTTTCAGATCACACGGGTCATCTGATGGAAAGATGACAGTGATATTAGAAAGTGATATTGGATAGGGAGAGAGAGGAAGAGAGATGGGCAGGTGACAAACCTCTCTGTCTTCATCCAAATGCAGTCATGCTTTAAATATAGCGCACATTGTGACTGTTTTTAATCAACAGCACCATCTTGTGATTAAAGTGGCACTGAGTTCATTGAACAAAAGCCTCTGTTCAACCTTTGCATCATAATTTAACACAAATTTAAACATGTAACATAACAGACAACCCCCTCTGGAGATTAGAGCTGAGACTGTGATAGAAAAGAAACAGAAAAATCATTCACTTGGGGAAGAATGCTTCAGATTATTTGCCGAAAACTGTCAAGTGTGCCAAAGGTTAGATTCTACGTAGATGTCAAGTGAAAGCATTAATATGCAACTCATGCCAATGACAACTGATTCAGATTTGTAAGACACAGGCACTACTTTGTTTTACATTCCTCTATCTGCACTGTGGATTTTCATTTTCAACCAGTAGGTGGAGGGAGAGAGCTGACACAATGCAGAGAGAAAGGGCAGGGGGGCAGGGGGGCAGTGTGCTGAAGCAAGCACCATGACTCACCGCACAGCAATGCACTTCAAAGTTCATAACAACACAAACTACCACTCATAGTAAGAGACATGTGACAAAAACAAGCACACATTTTTCACATATTATTCCACATTCCACGATTGTTTACTGTTTTTTTTCCCCTGTGAATTTTTTGTGGAGGCTCTCCGTATCCTTGTAGACAGCCTGAGCTAGGTTGGGAGCTGTTGTTGTCAATGTGGGCCTGTAAAGTCTAATCAGACATTACATATGATCAGTGTTGGGAAAGCTACTTTGCAAGCTACCAATCTACAGCACACCAACATGACAATAAATTCTCAACCCCAGTATTTCCACTTAGTCAGATGAGATTTGCAATGAGGAAATAAAGGCCAGAGCTTAATGGAAATTATACTGACAGCAGTGGTTTGTTCTCAGCAGTAGTTTTAAAGGTAAAGTAAATCATTTCAGTGTCATTATTGGAAATTCTGCTTAAATAACATGCATTTCACGTCATTCTCATTTCTCAATTACACACCCTCCAGGATCAAGTCCATCTCTGAAGTAAACTGATGTGCTACACCACACATTCATGCTTGAGAGGTCTACAAGTGCCTCAAAATTGCTGTTTGTACTCAGAAAGCAGTGTGAATATGGGAGAGGAAAGCAAATGGTGTTTGCTGACAGACAGGAACAGTGAGACATGACAAGAAAAAGGTGCAGTAGGGTTCAGAGCAAAGCATTAACTAAAGATCTACCTAATTAAGAGTGATGCTCACCGGTGTAATCTTGGCTCAAGGGATGTTCACTTTTCTTGCGGTAATTATTTCTCTGCCTCGTTGTTCGCCTCACAAGATGTAAGTATTTCCATCAAAACCAAGAGCATGCAGCAATATTTTTACGATACTGCATGACATTAGCTGCAGCTTTATTCTGTCACGTCTCATAGGTTTCATGAGCACTGGGCTATTTTGTCATTAAAATTTGATGCTGGGGTAATGAGTTAGTCATAAAGAAGAGCGCTGGAACTGTGTGGCAATGAGAGTGATGGAGCTGCTTGTACAGCCAGAGGCATCTAAAGGCCATCAAGAGACAAAAGGCTTCCCACTGAATATCATTCACATCTGAATCGTTCAGAATGTCTAGCTCAGGGTATAATAACTTGGAAAACTTGGGCTATTTATGTGGTATTGTATTATATTGTATTGTACTGTGCTCTTTGGCTTTGCATTATCCAAAGTGTCCTCCAAGGGACACTATAGCTGATCAAAATTATAAAGTGTTCAGATTACAGTAAAAAAAAAATACAGTACAACAAGTATTCTTTTATGCTTTTATTTACTTATATTGGGGAATGAAAAATTATTATGCAGTTTGTTGAATATTGGACAGATGTAGTGAGAAAGAAAACCTTTCTCAACTTTCTTTAACTTCCTTTGATGGCACCTTTTCAAAATAATTATAGTATCTCTAAACATGTGACAATCAGCTACCACTCACACAACCGCCCCGGCTATTTTTACAGTGCTCTTAGTAAGTCTGCCTTCTTAGCTTTCCCCAACAGCTTGTTAAATCATTTCACTCCTCAGAGGCGCTTTATCACCTCACCTTGTGAGTGAATGTCAAACACATTGTGCAGCAGACTCAGCTGCAGTGATACCTGTGATCACTCCATCACATCCTTGGCACCGTGCTAGTGTTTAGTCATGCTGGGACTGCTTTAGACATGAATGCTGCGTGCATTTAAGAGTAGGAATGGGCAGGAGAGTCATCTCAGAAGCAGTGTTACAGCTCCAGGGTGAGGACAGCTTTATCTAGCCACAGCGCATTCTTTCGTAATCACACTGCAGCAAATCACACTGAGTATGTCAGAACAAACGCTGTGCCACTTTAGAATAGAGGCGACAAGCAGACAGGGTGTTCTTTGTCAGCTTCTTGAAATAGCTGTCTGAGATTAAATTTAAACATTAATGTCACAACACAAGTCCTTTTTTGCTTCTGCTTTGGTGTTCGGTGATGGAATCAACAGTGTAATAAAATTTGCGCTTTGCAAAATGGTGAAGTAGATTGAGGATTTTAGCAAACAGATGCATTCTAGGAGACAGGTGGATGCTGCTTTAACCTGGCACCACAGAAAAGCTTATTTCCATAAAATAATCTGTGTGATTCTGCAGTTTGAGTAACAGTTCTACTATACATATATTAGTTCTGCATATTAGATATGCAGCAAAAATGGAAAATCGATTAATCAATGTGATAGAGTAGACAACAATATGGTAAACAAGTTGTCATTTCACCTTCCTTTAGAGTCAGTGTTCATAAGGCCTTATGCAGTCAGGTGTAATATGATTCAAAATATGATCCAAAACATTTTTAAGATCAATTCTCTATGTAGCTAATAGGTCTGTGCTATTCTGTCCCTGTGGCTGCTAGTTAAATATCTCATTTCACGGTATTGAGAGGTACATCTGGAGTCAATAAGCCGTGAGAAGAAACGACAGCTTCCGGATACAGGAGCTGGAGGCTGTGTACAGGTGTGGTGTGATGGGTGCCTTGTGCTGAACCAAGCCTGAAAATGAGACTGAGCAGACAGGTGGTTGTTAGCATGTGTGCAACCATGCACAGCACTTTTGTGATTCTGTGTATAAATGTGTGTAGAGAATATACAGTATATGTAAACACCTCTGCAAGCTCATGTACTGTACTTGTACCTATGTGTGGCTCTGCACTAAGTGGGCAAAAAGGTTTACACTGTGTTGTACGATCTTCAAGAACATCGCCAGGTGAGTCTAAACAAATGCACAGGATCACACAAGTCTGCCATGTTTGAACTGGATGTGTTCAGTATTTGTGTGTATGCCTGGGATCTTTGTGCGTTGTGTAGGAGGCCATGCATAATGCACACCACCCCCTCCTACCCCAGCTTTGAAGCCCGCCTAGCACCTATGCTCTAGCCTTTCCCCTGCACTGGTACATTTCCTCAGCAACACATATTATGGAGTAAGGAAAGGGAGACTGTGTAAGAGCAAAACAGGGATGGAGAGCAAGGCAACAAGAAAGATGCAAGAAAGGAGAAAGAGTTCAGAAGTGGCCTCACGGCACTCGAGCTGCTCCCTTCCACATAAGGCCTGAAGACTTGACATACATTCATTCCTCTGTCAGAGATGGCAAAGTACACACACTCGTTAGTCAAGTAGAAGCATAGATACCTGTGTTAAAAAAAAGACTTTACTTGAGTAAAAGTAAAAACTACAGGCTCTGAAATGTAGCCGAGTCAAAGTATAAAGTAAAAAGCAGCTCTGTTAAGGACATTTCTACCAGCTGTTTCTGTGCAAACCTAATTGAACCCCACCCCATATTAATATATGTCTGAGATTATTAAACAATTTTAACTTTAAATATACCTAAAATAATTAACATAAAATAACGAGAACACACTTCTGGTCTAAAGCCTTAAAGGCTATTTTCAGTGCTCACAGTTAATGTGTGTCATTCGTCTGTGCCATAGACCTCCATTGTTATTCATAAATGATTAAAAACACATCAGTGAAACACAGCACCACACTGGGTGACATGTTTCTTCAGTATGAAAGACAAGACCAATATATTGGTTAAAAATGTTGACCCAAAAGCTTCAAATGACCACAACCTTTCACAGCGCCTGAAGTAAAGTAAAACTCAAGTTAGTTCCCACCTCTGCTCTCCATCGTGACCTCTGCACACCAACAACCCAGCGCTTCAACACATGGGAAGTCATCACAGTAGTAATTCAGTCTTTTGTCCACAGTTTTGTTTACAGTGGAAACCTTTGCTTTTCCCACGGAAAAGCCTAAGTGATCTCACCAGGTACACCTGCATGAAGCCCACACAGTCAAGTCATCAACGTATGATTATGTGACATAAGGTAGTGTAAGTGAGCTACAGGGGTGGAGGTCTCATGAGGTTAGTGTGAGCTTGTCTCTTTCTCTCTGTGCTTTGAGCTTAAAATGTCCAGGGAGGGTCGAGGAACAACGGCAGCAGAAGAAGACAAAAAGAAAAAGGGACCACAAGCATTCAAGAAATAAATGACTTACTTGAGTTGCTCTGTTATTTAAATGGAAAATCTATGTTTGCACTTTCAAAGGGAAATAAGAGAAAGTGGGTCAACGGAATAGAAAAGCATCACAGAATGTACTATAATTTGGCCTCATTAGATGAGCATGCACAAAACCTGCATCAGTGTTTACATAGTGTGGGTGATTGATTCAGGCAATCTGTTTTTATAGGGATTTGTGCATGATGGTGCAGTATGCATGTGCTTGTTTAGCTATTCCATTAAGGGATGTGAATAGTGAAAGAGAACAAAGCATGAAAAACAACTGATGCTGTAATAATCCATTTGATCACAAATCAGTGCCTCCCACCTGAAAGCAATCTCTCTGGAAGGCTTTACAACACTTAAATCACAGAGGACAGCACACCATGTAGCTGCCAAATCCAAAAAGGATAAAGACTCAGTGGGAGAGAGAGAGGGTACGCTAATGATAGGTTGACAATGCTGAGCGTTTGTGCGATGGAGAGGAAAAGTTAAGATAAATCCAAACAATAAACTGCAGCTGCACCAGTTCATGAAGTTTCTCAGTTTGGTAGGTTTTAAGTATTTTTGCATTACAAAAGAATTTAAAAAAAAAAGATGTTTTGTCAGGGAGTGGCTGAAAAGCACTAAAGTCTGATGAGGGAAAATGGGAATAAGGTGTTGCAGTGAGACAAGTCACAGTGTTGGGTCTCAGGGCTGAGAGAACAGGAGCCAGAATGCTCAAGGGTGGAAAAGCATGCAAGGCCTGTTTTCATTAAACCCTATGACAGGGCATATTAAACACTGGTGTGAGAATTTCAACTTGTTGTTTTTCTCAAAGGTCTCTGCAGCTCCCATATCTACAAAATGTGTCAATTTACTCTTTATTAGTTCCAGAGAGCCGAGAGAAGTCCTGCTTGTGCACCCTAGGGGAGTATAACCGCTGATGTGAATTTCACAGCACGATACTGGAGAAGAGAGGAGGGAAAGGGAAAGGAGAAGAGAGAAATGTTGTGTGGGCAGAAGTGTCATGCAGGTGCAAAAGTTTATGAGTTTGCACGTACATGCATGTCTGTGTGTTGGAGGGTGTGTAGGTGTTGAAGAGAGCAGAGGAGGGTAACAGATATTGAGTGAGAAAGCAGAGAAAGGAGATGGTCAGTGACTTGTGTAAGTGAGAGTAACAATGTGATGATTGATGGTTGCAAGGCTGGCTGAACAAACAGCTTGAAAATGTTAAATTACACACTGATTAAGTTGTGTAGATCAGTGGAAGCATCTTCGTGTGAAAGCATCTGTATTCCCTGTTGGTATTTGTGGCAGATGATTTTAAAAGCATTTCTTCCAGTGCAGTGTGGAATTTATCCACAACAAGGATGAAAATTGATTGGAAAAGAAAAAAAGGCCTAAAAAATAAATAGTGCTCAGAAAAAAGTCACATTTTTTTAGGAACCCTGACTGATCTCTAGCTGAAACTGACTCCAGCCAGGACAGAATAGGTACGTTTTAACCCATGTAGAATACTAAGTGTATGTTATGTAAAACGACTCCTTCCATTACTACTGCGGACACTGTATTTCCAGCATGCCTCAGGATGTGATAAAAGGAAAGAGGTCCCCAGAGTTAAGATAACAGGAACATTCTTATTAGGGAGGAATAATTTCTCCTGAGACAGCATCTATGTTATGTTAGTCAACATGCAAGCTTCAGCATAGCAAATATAATAAAGTAAATTATTTGCTTAAAAATTGGAAGTGGTGTTTTAATAAGTCTACAGCTAAGTTTGCAGACCAAGGGCCTTTATGAAACATCCACCAAATACGTGCAGTTTTTAGGGCAGAACTATACAAGATAAGGAAGTCAGGTGGGCCACTGGTCAAAGGGCTCTTGACCTCTGAGCTCCTCCACACCAATAAACATCCTCCTAGCAATGTCTCACACAGTGCTGCCATTCAAAACACACAGAAAACACACACTCCTTCCTTGTTGGGACACACAGATACTAAAAAAAAATTCCCACATTCTTCTCCGAACAGCTGCGCACAGTACTGATGTGCTAAAAAATTATAATTAAGAGACGCATTGTGCCAAAGGGCGCACAGCAACATTCATTGGAATACAGTTATCGAGGAAGCTTAACTGAACGCAAAGACTGTACGCAAAGTCTTCTACAGCTGGAAGCAATCTAAGCATAAAGCATAAAAAGATTCAAAGCTGAACTAAAATAACACCAAACACTGCATGAGTCCACATTGCATCAGCTCTCAGTCAGCCTCAAAGTAGCATATGCAACATACCTAACACAACCTGGACTAATAACTACACTTTTATCCTGCCTCTGGCTGCCAGAGCTATGCGTTACCTGGCAGCGCGTAGCCTCCATCAGATGCCCACAGTTGCCATAGCGTACAGCAAAGCCCACTCGTCAGTCGGTCTGTCAGTTCTTCTACAATAATCTGACCACTTCCTACCACCTGACCACCTCTCTCCAGCTCTGCCTGCTCGGTGCGCCCCCACCCCAATCCAATCCCTCACTTCAGGAGCAAACATTCCCTCTTAACACAGATAAACATCGACCCCTCTACCTTTTAGGCTGAGCACGTCTGTTCTGTAGTGCTGGGCTAAAAATAGTCACACAACATCCAACAGCGCAGCATCGCAGATAAACACACACGGACAAAACTGCTGCACAGACCTGTAGAGTCCACAGCCTCCTCGATGAGTGGAGGTAAACGCAGTCCATCCATAGCCCCAAGTAGCTGCAGCAAAGAGGGAGAGAAAGAGAGTGGGCGAGAGAGGGTCAGAGGCTCCACACGCCCACTTCAGCTGCAGAGAGAGAGAGAGAGAGAGAGAGATGAACACACGGAAAGTACTGAGGACAGTGTCAAGTGCTCGCACACATGCAGGCTTCATTGAATACACACACGCGCAACACAAACAGGCTGTACCTCTGGAGAATTTGGGTGGATCCGGGGAGCTGAAGGCTGAGCTCTGGAGCGTGGGAGCGATGCCGAGAGGGAGGAGAGGAGGAGCTGAGCGAAGGGAAAGATGCTGTTTTCCAGACGGAGAGCTTGGTCTCCCAGCAAAGACCTCCCCCTTTCTCCCCCCCACACACACACATATACGCACGTTTCCCCTGCGTGGTTTATTCTGTTTACTGTTTTTACACTAGTCTTTCGAGTTCTTCTCTGTTTTCGCCGTGTTTGTGCTATAGATACTGTATAAACATATGTGATTGGAGGACGAAAACATATGCAAAGAGTTTTGTCTTTTCACTATTCATCTGTGCTTTCCTGAAGACACTTGTGTACACACACGCTCTCTCTCTCGAACAATCATGCACATTCCGCGCTTGGCCCCGAAGCCAAATTAAGTTACCCCTAATCAGATCCAGACACTGTTGCACTGGAGGCTGACAGCTAGCACTGCAGATTACTGATCATTTCCCCCTCCGTTGTTCATTTCCTCCCCTCCCCTTGTGAATGTCTTTCTCCTTCTGTTTGCTGCTAATTAACAATGTTTCTTATGCTATAAACAGCATCAGAAATCCCACCTCTCCATTTTCATGACTACCCTCCACACACATCTCTTCCTCTCTTAAGTCTGTTTCTCACCTCTGTTTCAGCTGCTATCACATCTGGCAACTTCTGTGCAGTATGTAAGCAGCCAGAAATGTGAGATGTGCCGTGAAACAGTCTGAAAATATGCCAGCAGGGAGGATGGAGGGCCAGCCTTAACTGTTTGCTTGCCCAGTAGGAGGATATTCCTATTGCAGCACTGTCAGAGAGCAGGAAGTGCTTTGCAGATGTACACATACAAACACGCACACACCAACAATATAGTCACACAGGTTCTCATTCGGAACCTTGCAGCATCTGAAAGAGAATAGAAAAAGGAAGTGTTTAAAAAAACACGGAAGTTTGAGTAACGGAAATAGAAAGAAGCAGAAAGTCGGTGTCTGAGTCAAAGCATGTGCTTGCTTGTACCTGTGATAAACAGCAATTGATTTCTGAAGAGCAGACAACAAGTAACAAGGGATAAAAGGTACCAGATTGAGATGACTGATACCCGCTTACAAGCACTTCCTTCACTTCCATGTGACTGTGCAGCTTTCCTTGGGCAGTTGTAATCCCACAGTCCCATCACCACACACAATAACAGCCTCGCTCGCACAGACACACAGGAAGGGAGAGCTGTGGAGAAAGTTGGCTGACAAGGTGTTGATAATGAGCTGACAATGTCTGGCTTCAATCCGCCCTATCACTCTAGTGTGACAGCAGGCTGGTTGCAGAGCAGAACAGGCACAGAGGGAGTGCAGATACCATCAAACTTTGG